AAATAACGTAAGCGACATTTTTTTCAAAATTTTATTTTTGATGCAGAAATATTCCTAGAGCATCTAGATGCATTTCTGCATCAAAAATAAAATTTTGAAAAAAATGTCGCTTACGTTATTTTGGCGGTTAAGGCTCGATATAGTGAGGTCGAGTATTATCCTTTAAAGTTTATGTCAATGTTTTTTTGATTGCAGCCTTAAAGAAAAACCCTAAAACTTTTCCACATTGAAATCTTTCAAATTCGTAAACTGATTATCATATCGCTACCTAAATTTTTCCTTTTTTCCTAAATTTGGTTTTTGAAACAGAACGACAGAAAATGCGAAACTACGTCGATTTTCCGTCTCTCCTGAAAAATTAAAAACGTGCCCTTGGCAAGTTTTCACGTTTAGATAACAATATGTACGCAAAGGGAAAACCCAGTTTCGTAAAACCATATAAAAGCAAACCCAAGAGAATCGAACAAAACAAAATTTAACCAAAAAATAACGAAATAAATAAAAAAACGAATATGTTTGTGTTTAAATTTTCTTTAAAATCCTTCATTTCTTTATTTCAATAATTGTTTTAATAATATAATAATAATAATAACTAATAATAGTGTAATTATAAGTAAATTAATTAAAATTATACATCTACATAGTTTATTCCGCATACTCGTACTTTTTTCAATTTTCAGTATGATTTTCTCTTTCTTTCTTTTTTTTCCTTTTTGCAGGTAAAATAAACAATACTACATACAAACAGAAGGAAAGTAATTATTTTAATTATAATAATTATAGTAATTAAAATAAACGTAATTTAACTGTGCAATTAAAATAATTGCAAATTCATACATACGTACATTTCATTGTTTGTATATGTGTGTGTGTGTGTGTGTAAGTTTATATACTATATATGTATAAACAAAACATTATACAAGTAATATAGAATTTTAGCGCTTAAAACAACTCAAAAATTTACACAGATGCACGCACGGAATAAAATTCTTGGCTTGCTGAAATGTATAACTAAATAATGTACAGCAAGCTTTCGGTTTTTAGTTATAACTATGTGTGTGTGTGTTTTATTTTAAAGGAAAAATGTGTACAAACTAAAATAATATTTAGTAGCAGCGCTTATTTGCGAAATAAAATCAAAATTTACTTTTTACATATCTATGCCACGCTTGCATTATTTACGCACAGGAAACACACTTTTATCCGCACGAAATTTGATCTAAAGATAAAGGGCAGGAGAGCGTGGAGAAAGCTGGTGAGGGTTGGCTTGTTGGCTTTGTTCATGTGATGAAAAAAGACTTAACGCCCTAAAAGTAAAACTAAATTTTTTAGTAATATTTATAAAGCAAGATTGTGGGTTCTCTCTCTCGTTCCTTATGCGCTCTCAAGTGGACCAAATCTAAATGGTTCCTCTCTTTTCCTTATTACTTTGTTTTGTTTTGGTNAAAGACTTAACGCCCTAAAAGTAAAACTAAATTTTTTAGTAATATTTATAAAGCAAGATTGTGGGTTCTCTCTCTCGTTCCTTTTGCGCTCTCAAGTGGACCAAATCTAAATGGTTCCTCTCTTTTCCTTATTACTTTCTTTTGTTTTGGTTTTTTTAAATAAAATTATAAGCGATTTTTACTAAAACTAATATTCAGCTTTAATGTTATTTAAACTTAAATAAAACTAAAATTTCTTTTCTTGCCTTTAATTTTTCTTTTAACTATAGTATATAACAATTGTTTTTTTATGTATTAAAATGATTAACGTTTCGCAAAGCAGAACAAATTCGCTCAAAACAGCTCCTACAGTGGCTCAAATAAACACTCGCATGTTGACTTTTTAATTTTTTTCTGAGAATATTTTTCAAGTAAACATTTTTTGCNTTTTTATGTATTAAAATGATTAACGTTTCGCAAAGCAGAACAAATTCGCTAAAAACAGCTCCTACAGTGGCTCAAATAAACACTCGCATGTTGACTTTTTAATTTTTTTCTGAGAATATTTTTCAAGTAAACATTTTTTCTTATTTTTTTATAAAATATTTGTTGAAGAGACGGGCGATAAAAATAGTATTAACATTTTACGCCAATTTTTAGCTGCCTCAAACAAAGCCATTTAATTTAATACCCTAAAATTTCAAAAAAATTAGAAACTTTGAGATATCGCTAGCTTAGAGCGAAAAGTTTCTAAGTAAATATTTATTAAACGATTCCGTATTATTTTGGGCTTAGCGAATTTTCGGCGCCTCTTTTGGACTTAGCACATTTGCCATTTATTCAATAAAACGAAACGACGTATTTTTAATTTCTCCTCGCGCCTACATCCAATTTCGAGTTTTCATGAAAATTAGACTTGGAAAATGTTCATTCTAAGCTAACGATATTTTGGTTTTTTATAAGCAATATGTTTATAAAAAAAATAACTAAAAACTGTATTCTTAAAAAAACGTAATCACAAAAAAAATTAACATGTGAGTGCTTCTTCAAGTCACTATATATAGGAGCTTACATAGTCAGCAAACAAAAAACGTTTTTGATAAAAAAATTTAAAAAAAAAAAAATATATAGATTTTTGTGTTGCCGGAACATCGCGTTCGCCACTGCTGACAAAATAATAATTTTTGGTGAATTTCGTAGAAACAAAAAATATGTACACTTGTATGCTATATCTATCAAAAATTTCGTGCCTTCTCCTTTATGTACAGCGGTTTTCCGTTTATTTAGTTGCCAAGCGCTTATTTAATAATAATTTCACCATTCTTTTTCTAATGCAGCAGTGCTTACGTGTGTCTGTGCAAGGCATTTTTTAAAGATTTCTGTTTTTTTTTTTGTTTTTTAAACTATCTTACTTGCTCGCTATCATTTTCATTTAGCTATTTTCTTTGTTCTTTACCATCTTTCTTCGCTTCTAACGCAAATTTTGCAACTAAACTACTTTACTTTAATTAAATTTAAATTTAAATTAAATTCATAGGCCAGTCGCACCTATTTTTCACACAATTTTTTATTCTACACATACAAATATATTTCCTTTTTTACATTTACATTCATTTGTTTACTCGTACTCGTACTCGCCTAATTGGTTGTTAAGTAGATTTCTTAGCAATTGAGTTCTGCATTTCTTTCGGCTCATTTGCAAATACACACATATTTTTGTTACACTGAAAATAAAATTGATTTGAAAAACTTTATATATTTTTGTTTTATTTGTGTTGTGGGTGTGCTCTATTAATTCTAGCGAGAAATTTCTAATTTCTGACTTGGATGAGTGTTTCTTGTTTTTTTTTTTTTTGGATTTTGCAAAAAGTGTAGGTATTCACAATTAACTGTATTTTTGTTTTTTTTTTAATATTTTACATATGCAATTCTAAACCTATATAAAGTTGGTAGGTATATGCAAGATTTGTTTTTGTTTTTATATTAAATACATAATTATTTACTTTCTCTTTATGAATTTTTACAATGTTTGCAAATTTTGACTCTGCAACTTTCTTTTAATATTCGTCCTCTTGTGCATGCTTATTTTGGGTTTGTTTTCTTTTTTTCGCAAACACAATTTAAGGTTTAAAATAATATCATCGTTTCGATAGTGTATGCGTGTACATATGCAACTATTTATGTGATTTAGAATTAGTATCTACTATGTATACATGTATGCTTGTAGGTATGTGTTTTATTATTATTTTTTTAATCATTCATTTATTTATTTGTTATGTATGCATTTATGTATGTATATTTTTACTATTTAAATTTACTGATATTGCCACAATTTATTTAATATTTTCATTGAATTATTATTTTTTGCTTGCGTTGTTTTTTACAAATTTAATTTTATTTTTTATAATTTTTTATTTATTTTTTTTTTATTTTTTGCCGAGTACTTGCTTTTAAGTCGCATTGAGTAAGGAGATCAACAACTTTCCGCGAAATACACTCAAATTTAAACTTCGACTAAACTGCCTGCTGAAGGGTGACCATACATATGTGGTGGTGAGGGTGACTATGCAGTTAAAAAAAGTATGTACATAAATAAATTTATACAATGATTATAGTTTAAAAAAAAATCTAGTTCAAGCGTATTAATGCATGAGAAAAAGATATTCACAAATAGATTAGAATTTAATTCTGCGGCTTTTACAATATTTAGGTCTTTTTGTTAAGTAACAGTACTCTTAAATATAGCTGATCACTAATGTATGCAATATGTGTGTACTGAAAACTTTTTTGAAAGCTGTTGAATAGTAACTTAAAGTGAATTGAAGTTATAGTTTTGTCTTTACATTTACATACATACACATAATTAGTATCAAATATCTTTTGCTGTGGTTTTTTTTTACAAATTTCGGTATTTTCAATTTTCTTTTTTTATATAGAGCCAAAAGCTTTTGTATAGGTAATTACATTTATTATTTTTTAATTTTTCACGATCTGTAGGTTTCCTGGCAAATTAATTTTTATTTTTTTTTTTGGTGAGTTTCCATAGGTTTTGTAATTTTTTCACGTAATGATATAAGCGCTTTCCGAACAGTTTGCTGTAAAGAAAGTAAGAGAAAAATTCATTTCATATTAAGTAATTGAAGAAATAAGTGTGTGGTATATTTTTGTTTTCTTGAGAATGAAATATACATTCGTAACTAACAGGCCTAAAAGCTGCCACTTAAAAAAAAAAATCATTTACTTAATAAGCTCAGTAAAACATTACAACAATGTGGGTGTCAAGCGAAAGAGCTCAAAAGCGGCTTATTTTGAAAACGAGAGAGTTTTGAGTAAGATTTAATTCCAAAATATTGTGGAAGAGGCTTGCGACGCGTGTAGTAGTTCAAACTCAGGTAAATCAGCGTAGGTGTCAAACGGACAGATTTAAGAAAGCTTCTTTTCGAAAATATTTTGGAAGATGCAATATAAATTTAATTAAAAAGTTAAATGAAATGCATACATATTTCAATCGAATTATCAAACGAGAGAAGTTAAAGAAAGCTTTAGTTCGATATTATTTTTGGCGGGGTCTATCACCGATTTAGAAATTTCAAATCAAATGAATTATTTTTATATGGGTGTCAAATGAAAGAGATTTAAGAAATCCTTATTTCGAAAATATTTGTGAAAAGTTGTACAGCACGTACGCGGCTGAGTGGCTCAAAGCCTGTTGCAACGACGAATGAACAGGCACACACCCACAAGATGCAGTCTTCCTACTCCACCTCTGTACCTTGGTCGTAAGCGGTCTATGGCTGATGTGCTGCTTATGGTTAAGGGTCGATTTCTGTCCGTCAAGCACAGCAAAGCAGATGTGGTCTCATTTAATAGGAAACCCAAGATTTTCGACGCAACTCTTGCCCCAATTTGGAGTTATTTGCCTGCGGTTTTCGGAACTTAGGCCTTATCCTTGAATTAAATCACTGAGAAATCGCAATAAAGGTATTCGTTATGTTTTATGGGGTTCTCATCATTAGTTGGGAAGCTAGAGGGCGTGCTAGGCTCATTCGTTTTAGTGATCCATTGCGGTTGATTCCAATTCTGGTTATTAACGCCATTGCAGGCAAAACTGCAAATGACTGATAAGCTCAGCGTCTTGAAAGTTTCGATTTTATTCCTGATTACATGTTACACTGCATCTCTAAAACGGTTCCAAGCAACACTTTCTCAACATACATTTCCTCAAGAGCTGATTCAACAAATTTGTAAAATATTAGTTAAAGAAAAACAGTTTCTACGCTCTCCTGTATAATTCGAGTGCCGCAAGATAGGCGGTTTTGCATCGACGAAATCACGGTTTTTATAATGGACGGCCCGATTCTGTCACTGTCCTTGTCTGAGACATCTGGCAATATGCACTTATTTTTTTGACGTTTCAATACAAGAAGATGTGTCATTTTAGTATACTCTACACGGCCTTCCGATTGAGCTACTCCATCCACATACATACATATGTTTGAGCTACAGTCCTTCATCTGAATAATCTACGTAGTTTTTAGAATGGGCTTACTTTCCTCTACACTACTACATAGTTAAGACCTAAATAAAAAAATATAGCAACCACATTTAATATACATTTGTACTTACATTTCATGTAAAAATAACCTACAGCCGTTTCTTCAAAACTAAAATGCTTGAGTGTGCCAAATCCGTTAAGGTCTCCTCGGTTTGATTGGCTTCTAGAAATTATCGCAGTTTTTTACATGAATACATTTTATTTTCTTTTTAGTAATTTTGCTACGCTTAAAATCCAATTACGTATATGAGGCGTTAGGCAATAGTAAAGCGAAAGTGTATGCACGAAGATACTAGTTTCAATGCATGTATTGGTAGAGTTGATATACACACATCCATACTTATGTTGATGATGCTTGCCGATGAAACACAGTTTGAAATGCGGAAGCTGAATCTGTTGCAGTTGGAGTAATCTGAAATTGCAGTTGTAGTCGAAGTTCGGTGAGATGAGTGAATTTGCGTGGTTTATGGGTTTGGTGGTTTTGTATCAGCATTCATGCAGCAGTGGAGGTGAGTTTTCAAATGATTTATTCCTTAAATCGGATATTTGAATGTTGATTTAGCTTTAAAATATATTTTTTGGCTTTTTTGTTGTTATTTCAATAGTTTAGTGATATTTTTATATTTATTTGTAATTCTTCTTTTTATATTAACTCCTTTTTATTTTAATTGTTCTCTTGCTATGTTGTTGCCACTGTTGCTGCTGCTGCCGTCGTTGCCGATGCCGATGCCGATGCCACCGCTGCTGCTGCTGCTGATGCTGCTGTTGTCGCTGTCGCCACCTCAAAAGTTGATTGCCCATGACTTTGACTATAGTCCTGACTCTCAACTGCGTCGGTTAATTACAAATGCTGGCCATAATACTCGGCGGGTGGGTAATGGGGATAGCCTTGATGGAACGCCGGATCACCAGGTGGACGATGCATCATATGCGCTTGACTGTCCATCATATAGCCCATGGCATCATGGCCGTATGGTGATGGACCCGGATGTGGGGTGTAAACTGCAATGAAGAGGAGCAGAAAAACAAAATAATCAGAAGTTATAATTTTACTTAATTAAAATGGGGTTTTGCTGGTTTTAAGAAAAGATCTAAGTAGTGTGCATATATCTATATATAAATGTATATATTTTCTATAATCTAGCAAAACATCGCCATAGTGTATGGCTTTCATGCTGAAGCTATTAATTCTTATTTCTAGTTATAATAACGAAGCGCGCGCTCATTACTAAGTAGTCGCTGCTTTTACAACCAATGAGACAGCTTCGGTTGCCACTAACTCGCATTGGAGCACGTATTGTAGTATAAAATGAAATGGTCGTCATGGTGGCTGACATGGAAGATTCACCGCCATAAAATATAAGCTTTATAGCTTTTGAGTATGTGTGACGAGTTTGGTGAGGTTGTAGAGGCCAGTAGTTAAGCATAAGCCCTGCGCCATACTTAGCTGCTAAGTAAGGATCTCCTAGTCGAATGCAATTTTCGCACATAAAAGACAAATGTCCTTTTCACTCAAGAGCTTCCTTTTATTCTGCTTGATTTGCAGTATTCTTGCTAGGAAGCACTTACATATTCTTCTATCTCATCCTTGTGTTGCAAAAATGACATAGCGTCTCACATTTGACGTTTTCTGTGTGTTTCGCTACTTGATAATAAAGACAATGCACTCGCGCTTCTCATGTTGCTTCCTCTTTCTTGCATCAGTTGGCTTTTAACTGAGCGCATTGCCATTAATCAAGCAGTCAAATGTTGTAATAGTATAAGCGTGAAAGTGAGGATTTTAATTTTATTTTCTTGCTATGGTAGCCGTAGAAAGCAACTAAGTTAATTTATGTAGACATTAAACCAAATGTGAAGAAGTGAAAGGAATAAAACAAATGGTGGGACAGCAGATTTGGCTATCAAGTGACAGTAGTTGCAACAGTGAGTTACATATGAACTAGAGGGCTGCATGAATGCATTCAAAATGGCTTATGAATTATTCATATACAAAACGAATGAATGATTTTGGCTTGAAATTTTTTGAATTTGAGTGAATAGCTGTTCTGATGTTTGTGTCGACATTACAATATTTAAACAAAGTGAAAATAAATTGAATTGAAATAAATGACAATTTTTTGTATGAATATCCAAAAATATACATATGTATGTATGTATGTTTTGCTGCGCTCCTATTATATACGAAAAAACTTGTTTGTAGAAAAAAACTTTTACCGAAATGAGTTCGGATGATTTAAATGTTTTCTATTCATTCATTCACATTCTTCCATTTGAAGGTAGAAAATATAAAACAAAATGTGTATTCATAACTTATAAAATTCCAAAAGCTGAGTGTTTTGTATGTGAAGTAAAGTATTCAAATCTACTGTACTCTTTTTGGCTAGAAGTTTGAATGAATTCATGCAGCCCTCTAATATGAACGCTTAAATGTAAAAACTGGAAATGCCTTTTTTGGTTATTTGAAAACTGAACATAATTTTTTCAAAACTTTAAAACTGCCCAATTTTATATTCATTTAAAACTCGAAGATAAATTTTTGTTTAGTTAAAATTAAAAATACATTTTCGGTAACTTTAAAAGGACACAGTTGTTTTAGTAATTTAAAGTACGGACATAAATTTTTTATCATTAAAAATTTAAAACATATCTTTGGTCAGTTAAATAAAAAATAGTAATTTTGAAAATTTTCATATTTCTTGGTTATTTCAGAAAGTGGACATAATTATATGGTCTTTTAAAACGTGGACATAAATTTGGTTATTTTAAAAGCTTATCGCTAATTTCTTATCTTCTACATATTAGTTTTTATTAAACGCTCAAAATTTATATGTCAGTCATCATTCAGCAATGAATTATTTATGTCTAGTTCTCATATAACTAAAAATTGATGTCCAATTTTTAAGTGTTCTAAAAATCATGTTTAGGTTCTTTATGGCCAAAAACTTATAAAATTTTCTAAAATATTATGTTCAGCTTTCAAATGGCCAAATATAATTGTTAAATTCTTAAGTGCTAAAAAAAAATTAATAGACCAATTTATATTATATACCTCCAGTTATTAAAAAATAAAAATAAAATTCATATTTTTGAAAAAGCAAATATTTTTAAAATACCGAAAATGTATGTATGTAGATATTGTTATTTCCAGCACTCATATGTTACCTCAGCCTTGGATTTAGTGCCAATATGTGTTTGAAAATAAAATACCGTATGCATTTCTATGGCAACTTTTTATTACTTAGGCAATTCAAGAATTTTCTTGTATGAAAATTCCATTATACGGTGTTTACATGAGCCGATTTTACTGGCTACTATAAGTTGAAAGCAAAAATCGCCTAGTGTCAACGGCCTTTCAACTAATCGCTTCCAATGAATTTGAAAGCAGTCAACTTTTTATTCAACAAATCGCCTCTAAAGTTGCTTATCAAATCGTCCAATGTAAACACCGCAATAGTAATATAAATATAATAAACAGCTTTTATTTACCTGCTCGATTCGATTGGTCGATCATTGGCTGAACAATTCTTCGCCTCGCGTTGATAAACCTGAAATGAATAAAAGAAAAAAAGAAAATTAGAGATATTCTTTTTGTTTGAAAATAATAAAAGATATTGGGTCGAATGAAAAAACGAAAAAGTTTTTCCTAATAGTCGTCGTCCCTCGGCAGGCAATGGCAAACCTCCGAGTGTATTTCTGCCATGAAAAACAGCATCTCATCAAAATACAATCGCCATTCGGAGTCGCAAAACTGTCGGTGCCTCCGCTTTGTGTGACAACATTAATGCGCAGGACACAAATTAAAGGAGAATCGGCCAGACACTAACAAGTTCTATAAGCGCCAATCTACAATTATTGTTATAGGACCGAACGATAGAAGGGTGTGAATTAAGTGCACCGCATCCTTAAAGAGATGATACAGTTTCTACCAAATATTATGGCTCTAGACCGGGTGGCTGACAAGGGTGTCTTAGGTTTTTCTATTCCCATTAGATAGTTCGCAGTCAAGGGTTTTCAGACTGTATTCTAACGGTAAGGTATCCGAGAGTAAGAGGATTTGCTACGCCAAAGGTAGGTGAAAAAGACCTAGTATGGTGTCTTGTATCACCGCATAGGTATAAGTGCGGCCTCTGGACCCTGTAATAAAACCAAGTCCAAAGCCAAGCTGAGAGCTTTAACGCCGTTGGAGCCTAAACTGCCTAACACCACTCCTCTTAGGTCACTGCACAATCGGAGGGTAAGCCTTTCTCTGGAGTTACCGGTAAATCAAACCCCTGCAGGGAAGTGCTACACCGGTGCGAAGTATGCAGGCGGCCCGTCTCCCTAGGCCCTATTCGGGCATTACATCAAATTAGGCTAAGCAAATAGACACGAAATACTCCACGGACAGCCAATTGACTTTCTTGCTAAGGAGCAGCCGATCTTTCAAAAAATACCTCTAATAAGTCGAAGAGGCACAGAACCTATCCCATAGGCTACTTATCTGTCGCCATTGACTTTTAGTGAAGCGGCCATAGAGTACTTTACGCTGGCCATGCTGGATGAGGGCACCCTGACTGTTAAATCTCTGCAGACTACTGGAAAATCTTTTTGTAGGGTTTACAAAGTATATTGTAGAAGCCACTTGTCTCCTGCACCGAGGAGCACTCAGACAAGTTGTAACAGGAGGCATTCGCTTATATGTGGCATGGGTCAGACTTTATTGCTGTGCACAGAGACGAGCTCCCTAGCAGACCGCGCGTCTGGGCCTGTATAGCAACCGAATTTTCCGAACCGAATCAAATTATGGAGCTTGTTCAGCTTGGTAACGAAGGGTTACACACCATTCACGAGAGGTAGCGTTATGTCAGACTCGTCAATAGCGAAGCTCCCCTCGAGAGCCGCAATGTTTTCGGCTTTGCATCGGGATTTTTTGTTATACATATATCGATATATTTTGGTACATTTCGAAATTTTTCCCGGGATTTCCAGGCTCAACGATACTTCTTTATCTTATATTTACATTTTATGACGGCCCATGTGTCATTATGACAAAAAGTAATCTTAGCCTTTATAGTCCTTAAATCAAATTGAATAAGAATCGTCTATATTCATCCTATATTGAATAACGAGTATTAAAAACTTACTTGCAAATATGAATTTTCGAAAAAGCGAACAACAAATGCAATCAATTTTTTCAAATGAGCAAAAAAAAATTTAAACCCAACATAATAACTCAGACTACTTCCTTTGCCTGGCATGCTGAAGCCGCCTACCCTACTTTGCGCGGCGGCTTGTAAGCTGCATACCACCACTCACCAACTACCGCTCGATGAATTGACGTAGAAAATAATAAAAAATAATTACTTTAAAGTTATGGCGGTGTTTTACAACTAAATTGGCAAACGTTTGTACGTAGCAATAACCATGGCAGCAACAGCAACAGCAACAGCGACATCTCTACTAACAACAATAATCACAAAAACTTGAGCAAAGTACAAATAAAGCCGACATTGATGAAATATTGCATTGTGAGAATTTATTAAAATTAAAAAGTGCCGCAGCTTGAAAACCCTCAACAAACGCACGCATAAATGCACGCGAAAAAAAGCAAGCATTGTACAGTCGCCACGCATTATTTTATAAATAATTTATGAAATCCGCACAATCCACGCAATTCACAAGCCAAATCAGCGGAATGATTGCAAAACTGATCAATTGTTGTTAACGCTGCGCTGGCTTAGGCTTTGGCTTTGGCTTAAAGGCTGAGAATGGGTTAAGTGCGCGCGAAAAGCAGCACAAAGAAATCCGCTACAGTTTTTTTGTCATT